AAATGGCCATCCGTGAAAATTAGTGGTATACGGTGTCTAGCACGGAGGACTCGGAGTAGTCGGGTTCGGCTGTCCATGGCAGTGCATGCTTTCATAGTGGCTCGGCGTTCGGTGGAAATCCTGTGCCAGATCGGTAGACAGACATTCGGGGTGCATGATCATCGGAGAGCAGCGTCGCTGGTAGACGTTGCGTAAAGCCGAGGACCCGCTGCAGCAGCGAAAGCCAAACCGACTCTGGTAACGGTTCCGAACAAAACGACGCATCTCCCCCATAGCGTACCACTCGGCTGGAGTATCCGGAACTACCTGATGAATGGCTAAACAGAGCTGTCGTCCCCATTCTTTCCAAGCGCATTCCGTTCGACCGTTTTGCCATGGTGAACGGGCATCCGTAGGGAAAAGGCACGCGCCGTTGCTTAGCATGTCATCGGCAATCCTTCTTCCCTAGAGCTCCGCTCCAGGATCACCTGCGACGGCCCCTGGCATGCCAAACGCGCGTGCCCATGTACGCACAAATGCCTGCCATGCTACACACGCTGGCATCCCTGCCCCCACATGTCCAAATAACTGAAGAGAAGTGCCGCGCCATATGATGCTGATGCAAATATGCGGCGCGCCATCGAAGGGCACTTGACCTCGACCAAATCAACGCCAACAGCCCGGTCGAAGCGATGGGACTCAGGAACAGCAGCGGGACGGCGACGGCAAGTCGTTTGTGCGCATCGCAGTCGTCGCGTTTACAGTTTTTCAGCACCCGGCGCGCTACCTCAGGCATCGCATATCCTCGTCCCAGGTGTCGTGCGAAGTCTCAAATTCCAGGGCGACCAAAGTTGCCACGGGCAAGTTTGAAGCCGGCCAGCTGATCGGCAGTATAAGAGTCCAGTCTGTCTGACCGGGTACTTCATCATCGCCATCAGGTTATGCGCGGGGTCGTAAACGGAAATTTTTGCCAGGCCCATCTTCATCAGGAGCTACTTCCAAAAAAACGACACTGGTATTGTTCACTGGAAGTGCCCGCTGGATCTGCTTAAACTGTCGATAGGGAATGGTTCCACTGCCGTCCTCAGCGGGCTCCGAAGATGAAGCGCAGGCCCAGAATTGGTGGTCGGCCACGAAATTTGTTGCCACCCCCCCTGTTTGCCTCGGCCGCTTCGACCGAATCCTGCGGAGTGGCGGACTGCCGGAAGACGCCTGGGGCACCCCGGAGCACGGCCATGCGTTTGCCAGATGCTGAACCAGCCAGGCTCACACTGGTAGCTGCCCAACCTGACTGAGACAAGTACTCTGAGGACAGATGCTTGCCAGCGACGCACCAGAGAACATCACGTTGGTAGCAGCCCTGCAATAAAAGAGAATGCGGCCAGACCATTGCTTGTCCAACGTGCTGACAGAAGGCGGTTCAGACCACGCATTCTGACTCCATTCGGTAATACCATCTGAGTAGACAACCTCTGTCACCAGCTCGTTGGTAAAATCCTATGCAGGCGGGGGGCCGACGGAGTCGGTCGGATTTCAGAGGGCGCCGCGAGGTCCCTGATGCACTCGGACATGTGCCCAGCGACCATTGATAACATCTTCTGCCCACGAATCCATCAGACGTCGCGCTCCTCCGCGGCCGTCTCGAAGCCGCCCCCGCCCGCGATGTTCTCGCGCATCTTGCGCTCGGCCGCGCGCGTGGCCAAGAATCGGAGTCGTTGATGCGATGCTGGGTCGCCCGGCTCGCGAGTCCTCATGCGCCACTCGCAGCGCTGGAAGTCCATCTCGTAGATCTCCTTGAAGGCGGAGCCCGCGAGGACCCCCCGAACGTCGCTCGCCCCGCGTAGTCCGGGGCGCCAGTGCTGGTGAAGCCGTTGATCGGGGGTGTCGTCCAGCGCGTCTGGCAGTCGTTGCACGTCCACCGCAGAGTCTTGCTGTTGCCCCGATGGCGCATGACCTTCCCGGGCCGCGCGCGCAGCGCCTGGTCGGTCTTCTCGGTGCCCGAGCCGCCGGGCCCCAGCCTCCTGCCCACCGCGAACCACTCCCCGCCGCTGATCTTCAGATCTCGGGGGGAAGGTCGCGGGTCGCGTGTTAAGGCCCAGTAAAGCAACCGGCGTGCTGACCCCCCCCCCCCCCTTCGCAACAGGTGGTGCGTCGCGCATTCGTCGCCCGTGCGCCGCCCGCGCGTCGGCCGCCGAAGAGGCCAGCCGCCCTCTCGAACGTGCACGTCGCCCTCGCAATGGGGCAAGTTGGTGAGTGCGTCGCCAGCGCGGCGGACACCCGCGGGGCGGATCGCACGCACGTCGTCCTCTCCACGGCCGCTGGAAAGGCCGGTCGCCTTCGGGAAAAAGAAAGTCGCCCACGCTGCGGCCCTCTTGGCGAGAAGAAGGCGGCCGCTGGGCTACCTCGGCAGATCAGCAAATCCTTCTAACATTACAACTGCAGCGATGCTGCTGAACGCACCCCGGCGATAGGCCAGCAGGTCCCCGCAGCCGCCGCCACAGCCGCCGCAACCGCCGCCAGCGCCAAAACTACCGCCGCCATGATCACCACAAACGGATGCGACCGCAACCACATCCACCGCGACGATTACGACCAACACCATTTACCGCCATCACCACCACCACGACCACCACGCTTCTCGCGACCACCACAACGACCGACACCAGCACGATCACCGACGTGACCACCACCAGCCCGCCCACCACCAGCGGCACGACCGCCGCCAGCGCGACCAAGCCGACGAACGCGACCGCGACCATGATCACCAACATGACCATTACAGAAGCACCCGCCCACTCCGTCCTCCCCCCCCTCTCCCCCGTTCCCCTGCCGGGCCGCCCTTGCCGGCGCTCCCGGCATGTAGCGGTCTAGGCGAGTGTCCAGATCTGGTGGTAGCGAACCACATATGCAGCTCCTCCATGTAGTGGTCTAGGCGAGTGTCCAGATCTTCTCCTTCCCAGAGCGAGGAAGGTCGTTTGGTATCTTGGGGCCTCCGATTGTTCAAGAAATTGTCCCCGTTGGCCATCAAAAGGTCTGGCAATGGTATGTCCTCAATAAGTCGGAGCAACAAGGGTAAAAAAGGCAGAGCCTCTCCTCGCCGATCCGGCGCAGCCGGCGAACCACGTCCGCGCCAAGTCCAACCTGACGAGGATTGTTCTGTATTGGGCTGTGTCTCCGTCCAGGGCTGCGATAACCAGCGGGCCCAGTTCTGATCTGACCAGCCCACATTGTCATCACCTTCCTTAGGAACATCTTCTCGTCCTCCAGCTCCTGCCCAAGGATCCTGAACTGGTTGTAAACAAGAATATGATGGAACATCATAATTTTGAAGACGAGCGTCATTTGGAGAATCCATGGCGGCGCTCAGTGCAGTGGGGTTGACAACGGGAGAAGCGGGAGAATAGTAAAGAGTATATCGCCCGAGAACCGAATGACAAGGGAGTCGTCTTGACTCCCGTCGCGGATGTCACCACAGGCTCCGCTGCCACAGTGGATTGTACGGGTGTGACTGCATGGATACAAAGAAACACGAGGTACAAATAGGGGGACCCGTGTTAGAAAAAAACACGTTTTCTTTCGTTTTACGGAGGCGTGGGCGCGCCCGTCACCGGCTCAAGGGTCATTGCGAGCCGATATGGCGGCGAACAAGGGAGCACAGAGAGAGGCGCAGGAGGAGGAGAGGCTAAAAGGAGCTGAGCAGCCACGTCCTTGTCTCTTCCTTCCAGCCGTCCTCCCTTCCCCTGCCTCAGGGGCTGCACGAAATATACGTCGCAGGTAAAGAAAATATGCTACCAACGGGGTACGATCGAAGATGAAGAGAGCGGGTATCGAACGTCCGGAATATACGTACGGAGTGGCCCGCGAGCAGATAAAAGTGAACAATCGTAAAGTGATTATTGTTGTTATTGCTGTTGGTGTTGCTGTTGTTGTGTTTGTTTGTGTTTTGGTGTTGATGTGTTCTTGTCGTCGTCGTTGTTGTTTTCGTTGTTGTTGTCGTTGCGTTTTTCGTTACTTGTTGTCGTCGTCCCACCCGCGATCCGTCTCGCGAACCTCCCGCGACCCACCCGCGACCCACCCGAGACCTACCCGCGACCCACCCGCTACGCACCCAGCGACCTGCCCGCGACCCTCCCGCGACCCACCCGCGATCCACCCCGCGACCCGCCCGTGACTCACCTGCGACCCACCCGCGACCCACCCGCGACTCACCCGCGCCACGGCCCGCGACTCACGCGCCATCCACCCGCGACCCACCCGCAGCCCACCCACGACCCACCCACATTGCTTCAACGAAAAAGTCAGCGCCTGCGGCGGGCTCGTTTTGTGATTTTGTAAGAGTTCAGCGCCTGCGGCGGGCTTCTTCAGAGCCTCGCGGACTGCCGACGTCCCCGCCGCCCACTCACTCTGATCCGCAACTGCAGGGTGCAACGCATTTCTCTTAGTTTCGACTGAAAAACAAGTTTTGGGGCAAATGAATTATGGATTCGATCTCCGACTCGACTCGAAGGATCAGCGGAACATGCCTCCATGCGAGAAGGCCCTCCCGCTCCTCAAGAAGGCTTGCGAGCAGAGTGCCTCTTGGGGGGTCGCCCCCCATCTGAGCAAAGGACCTCTGCCCCGTCTTGAAAGGCGAAGCCACGATCACCAAGGGCGAGAGGACCAACAGATCGGGGGTTGCTTAAAGGTGCCCCAGGCCCAAGGTGCCTCCAGTTTTTCCTTCAATTTTGGAGCCCCTGGGACCCTCTGGGGATTGTGGTGGGTGTTCTGGAGGCTTTGGGGGGCTCCTTGGAAATCCTGGGGGCACCTTGGGCCAGGGGCACTTCTAGCAACACCCGAACAGATACCAATAGTGCCGCTCCCCCCCCCCCCCCCGAAAGACCTCTCCGAGGGGCGTTCCCTGACCAGGACCTCGATGCGAACCCGAGCATGGAGACGAGGGAGGGGTATCGGTCTCGGTACCTCGTCCTCTGCTCTGGCCCCACCCTCTGTCCGCCGCCATATTCCAGTCCTCTCCCCCTGACCTCAGGAGCCTCGGCCGCTGCCCTGGATGCCCCGCGCTCCAGTCGCGGGCGCCCACGAAACCCACGGGTTTGGCAGCTCTGGCGCAAGGGGGGCAGCCGCCCAGAAGCAGCAGCAGCACCAGCGCGAACTTGGCGGATGGTGCGGCTGGCATCCCCCAGACTTGGCTGAGATGGGCAGCCGGAAGCGCCCCCCCCTCCCCCAGGGCGTCGGGCGCAAGTGTGTACGCCAGAAATTGCCACCCAGGGCCCTCCCTCCGTCCTCCCCCACATCCACCCCAGAACCATTACTCCCAGACCCCTCCTGCTCCATCTTCTCCGACCTCTACCACTCGTCCTCATCCACCTCATTATGTGCTCTCCTGCTCTTCCTCATGCTGCTCGTCCTCCCTCTCATCATCAACATCATCTCCACCTTCCTAATCGACCTCCTCCCCCTCCCCCTCCTCTCCTGCTTCCTCGGGGGCTCCCACCCGCAGCGGTGGCGCCCGCGGGTCTCGACATCCTCCCTCCTCCCCTCCTCCCCTGTTACCTCGGGAACGCCCCCGCGCAGCGCGGTGGTCCGCGGGGCCTCTAGAAGCCACCGCTCCGGTCCTAAAAACAAAGGTGCGTCGGAAGAGAAGAAAGAGCAAGGACGGACGGGGGAGGAACATACATGTCGGACGGTGTGCCTCAGCGCAGCGCGCAGAGAAGAACAGAGAACTAAGATAAATTTACCAACTGCCGAGCCCTGGCGCCTTCAGCCCCAGATGGAAAAAAAAAAACGACCCATCGCCCCCTCCAAAAGGAGGGCGGGGAGTGGAAGCCGCTCGCGGCTGGGTGGGCGTTGGGCCGAAGTGGCATGAAAGGGTGGGAGAACCCCCGACCGCCAACGCCTCCTTCCCGAGCATGAGCGACATCCCCGCGTGGCTGGGGAACTTCCCCTCAGCAATGCGCGTAAGATTCCCGTTGACAGACTGCGTCCTGGGAAGTCAGGGCATTGCCAATTGTCGAGGGTCCACTGAGGCAGATCTGCCGCAATTGGCACACACGTGCAGATGATGCAGGTCCCCGAAGCCGAGTTCGTGGATGGGGGCCAGAGCCTCCCAACGCACGGACACACTAATTTCCCGACGCCGACAAGACCACGTCATCGTTCAGCTAGCCCTATGGTCGGCGAAAGGAGATCGCATTGCACGCATCAGCTGCCCTGCAGTGGAAATCAGACCGCAGCGCGCGCAATGTTATTTAGCCCCTTCTCGGCGGATGCTGGGGGCCACTGGAAGCGACCGCTGTCTCGAGGGCAGGAATCCTGCAGGATCTCTCCTCTAGCAGTCCTTGAACTTTTGATTGCCGGGGGTCCGCATGCGACGGATCCACCAAAGCCTTACAGGCCCTTTTTTTCTTAATCAAAACACAGATAATATCCGATGTGTCCTTCTGTCGAATCGTCTGAACCGAAAATGTCCAAATCCGGCCCGCAATTTCGCCGGCAACCAAAAAAAGAGCACCGGGCCCTGGGGCCCACTCCGAGATCCTGGCGCGAGAAGCTCTCCAAGCAATACTGGTGGACTGAAAGACCCCTGCTACTAGAACCGTGCGAATTCTCAATCATAAATCAACGCTAGGACCGCTGATGGATTTCCCCCTGCCTGAGTGCCACGCACCAAAAAATAAGGGGGGGCGTTGGTCCGTTGCTGCATGGGCGGCCCCCGGGAAATTTCAAACCGCCCGACAAAACGCGCAACCAGCTCGGAACGAAGGATGTTCTGGAGACGGCGATCGGAGGTCTCATCGAATTGGCCACCGAGCTCCCGAAAAGGCCCGTCGATCGAAACCGCGTCGGCCCCACGGTTCCTGCTTTTGCGGTCGGAGGAAAGCCTGCCTCCACAACCCCCCCCTTAAAGGACAACTCGCCCCTCGTGCAGCGAGCTGCGATAGGCCGCCCCCCCACCCCACCTCCGCGCGGACACAGCGCCCGCGGTCAGACGGCGGCGTTCCTCCAGGACAACCTGCAGGGCGGGGGGCTGGAGGCTCCACGTCGAGGCCACGCCTCGGGCAGAGCATCTCGTCGGGGCCCCCGCTTGGGAAACTGCGATCCCGAAGCCGCTGCGTTCCTGGGGATGCGACCGCAACGACTTGAGCCGCGCTGGCACAGAGCAGCTCTGGCACAATGCCGGGCTCGAACATCGCGCGGCACGTCCTCGGCGAGACAAGGGAACTCGCGCTGTTTGGCAGCAGATGAAAACGTCCAAGTTGGAGGCGGTGGCGAGCCAGTCGCGGAGCTAACGGCCAAGCGCCGCGCGCTTCCCCGCTGAAAATGAAAAGAAACCATCTCGCACCCGAGGAAGTTGCAAGGGTGGGCCTGGATGAGCCGCTGACCTTAAGCTAACTTCGGTCGCCAGCCGTAGTGATGACGTTCAAGATTTGGGGCAGCGCCCAGATGGTCCTGGGGCGGAAACCTCGCCCCCTTCCCCAATGAAGTGAATGTGAATACGCTCTCGGCACGTCTCTGGCCCCTGTTCTTGCAGACCGTAGACAGCCTCTAGAGATGCGGCGGGGCCCCCGCCGCAAAAAGGCCCCGTTGCGCAAGCGAAAGCCCGGTGCCCGAGCTGATTGGCAGCGCGCGCGGCTGGGCCCTGCTCCGAGTGGCCGAGGGGAAGCGTGGCCAACTGCTCTGATTGTCTTGAATGGCCTTCCTGAGCCTGGCGCGCCTGCGCGCCCTGGCAACCCTGCGCGGCGTCCAAGAATTGACCAACGCATTGGAACAATGCTGCGCTGTGTTCGCTTCCGTCCAGCACCGGTGCAACCTCCCAAAAAGACTGCCCACCCAGCTGCGGTCTGGGCGCTGGCACTCGGGTCGAAGGAGGAACTGGGCGCTTCGTCTCTGAGCGCGGCGTCGCGCGCGACGGTTCAGAGCGACGCGGGCTCGGCATTTTCGCGCGCCCCCTGGAGGAACTGCCGGGCGAAAACTCCGGCGCGGCGCGTTCCGCGCGGCGAGAAAACCGCGAGCGACCGCGCAGGCGCCGTCGCACATGCGACGGCCGCGCCTCCTCGCAGAAGGCGGGCAACAGGACGCAGCTGAAGATTCGAATTTGAATTGCCGCTGTCGGGCAGCCCCGCTCGCAGTTCGCCCGCCCCGACAGGGGCCGAGACGCGCCGTCGCGAGAGATCGCCTGGCGCAAGAGAAGGGCGACAGTGGCTGACTCCAAGAAGAACGAAACGCTCTGACCAGCGCGGCGCGGCGCAACGCACCTCGCACGGCCGAGCTGCCCGCCTTTGCCGCGCGCCATGGACCGCCGAGCTGGGGCGCATTTCGCAACGACTCCTGGGGGGCATCGCACATTCCCCCCCCCTTGGGTTTGGGAATGGGCGCTCAAGAGGGGCGCGCTGGTCGACCACGAGCAACAGCAAATCTTCGGCCAGCGTGGGCTGGCGCGGCCGTCGAGCCCCGATCAAGATGCCTGGCGCCTGACCGCGGCCGTCAACCCAGCGTGACCCAATCGAAATTATCATTGCTCATCTGGTTCCCCGCTATGATGGGGTGCCATGGCCGCGCTGCCTGCGTCTTCGGCTGGACGATGCAAGGCGCCCGCCTTGGTTTGCGCGTCTGCGCCTGCCGCGGCGCCCGCGGACTATGCGAGCGCCGCCCCTCGGCGACCCGCCAACCTCGCACGCGGGCCGCCGAGCGCCCCGCGAGCGAAACGAAATCAGCGCGATTCTCTTCGGCGCGCTGGCCCAGCTTGCTTCAGCCTGCCCGATCGCGCCCTCGCCGCGCTGCAGAAGAGCGGGGGATAAGAGCGCTTTGCGCTTCCATCGTTAGATTAGGCAAATGCTTATTTAAGTTATCCGGTGTTTGATGTTCTCGTTCCCGATCTTCATGTTCACGGCGCTCGAGGGAGGCAGATAGGCCCTGGCGAACTGAAGAGCACATGGCGGATAAGTCCGTGGAGCGGGCATACTCTAGGCCGCGCAGATGCGAGCGCGCCGGCACGCCGAGAGAGAGAGGGAGAGAGAGAGAGAGAGAGAGAGAGAGAGAGAAAGAGAGAGAGAGAGAGAGAGAGAGAGAGAAAAAAAGAGAGAGAGAGAGAGAGAGAGAGAGAGCGAGCGAGCGACGCGGCGCGAGCTCTTTTGCCTTGAGCAAGCAACGCAGCTGCGGAGTTAGCTAAGTCCCTCCGCTTCCGTTCCTAGCCTTGCCAAACCCTTGTCAAATGGGATGGGCAGGGCTGTTGCATAGGCGAGAGGGGCGTTGGGGGCGACGCCCGCCGTGGCCTCCCGGCGCGACGCCGTCGCGCCAGAGTGGGCGTCGGCACGCTGGCTAACGCCCCGAGCGAAAGAGGCGGGACACGCTAAGCAGAACTCAGCGGCTCCCGCGAGCGTCGGACAGACTCCACCCCTTCCCCAGAGGCCGCTTCGGGCCCCCCACGGTGCCAACCCCCGGCAAGTTTTAGGGCGCGCGTGGGAAGGAAGAAAGTACTCCTGTCATCGCTCTGTGGGGCCAGCCAAGGGCCACCGGGCACATCCCACCCTAAAGGATCTTGGCACTAGCGCGCGCCGCCCAGCCTTCAACTCAAAAGGCAACCAGCCTGTTGAGAGCCTCGGCGCGACAGAGTTTTGGGCCCGCGCCCCGTGGCATGCGGGGCCAGGTTGGGACGCTGTCTCAACGCTACCACCCTGGCCGATGAGCACGCAACCACTGGTCACAATCGGGAGCACCGCGCTCTGGATAGTACCAATCCTGGCCACCGCGCTGGGTCTGACTCGAAGACGGGTTCCAGGATGCCCAGGGGTCATTGGGGCCCGTGCGCCAAGGGTGACGGGGAGACGCGGCTTCCGTATGCCACGCCACGCTGGGACAGACCAACCCGTGGGGGGCGCGCCAGGCACGCGCGCTGGCGCCGGCGTCGCAGGAACCAAGCGCGATGGCGCAGGACCCAGCCGCATTAACGGAGGCACTGCCTCGGTCAAGCGAACGTCTATCGTATCGTTCCTGGCGGTCGATATACTTGGGCCCCTGCGGCGAACCGCACGCAACGGCATCTTCTGGTCCAGCTCCCACGCGGTGGGTCCCCAAGCGCGCCGACACATGACCGTCTGGCGCGCGCGAGGCTCATAGCTGCCGCAACACTTCTAGACGGGCGGCGTGCCGCGGCTTCTCTCGAGCGTCCTCGCCTTCACGGAACGTGGTC